TAAGCTGAGGTAAGGTTACGAACAGTTACTTATTTGTCAGAATGTCTGTATTTTAAGCCAAATTAAGTGTCTCGTGCGCTCTCAATGATCACATCAAAGTCCATATACTTTAAGTAAACCCGGGGTTACACCCCACCTTTATATCTGAAGTAAACCCTGGTCTTTTTTTAAGCCACCAAAGGTAGTGGTCAAAATATTCCCCCTCAAAAAAGGCCATCATCAGCATCTGCCAGTTCCTTTGCATTAACAGGATTTTTGCTCTGAACACCATTTAGTAGTTTTCTAAATGCCACAGTTAATCACAAGCACTGAGTTACAAACTTCTCCCTTCATTTGGAACATTGTGGGATATATTTTTAAGGACGCTGTTTAAGGTTTGTCCCAGAAAAGTCTCTACAGGCCCACATCACCCCTGCGCCGTCACCTCCACCTACATCCCAAACGTATTTAGGACATCCTACTTCTTGGAGTGTGAAATGGGATGAAGACCACAAATTTCCTGAGCGCTACTTTAAGGTTTACAAGAGGATTAAGGCACCAACTGTGCAAGTACTGAAGGCTTCATTCTGTCAGGGGTAAAACAAAAACAAAACGCAATAAAAACTGATCTACAGCTAAATTAAAAACAGAGACATAACTTCAAAAATCCTTAGAGGCAAGCACAGAAAATATGCAGCAACTCAACATATGGATTAGAATTAAACAGATTTTTGCTCGTTTTATTGTTCCCTSCCACACGACACAAGCATTATGTAACAGCAAGAGAGGGTGGTGGGATTGTGTCATAACTGTAGTTATTGTACCTGCAAACGCCCCAGAGCTGTGCAATAAAAGCCAACTGATGTGATAAAATGCAATTTATCTGAGCAACCGCRTTAGACCTTCCTAATTAAGAGCATATCTTGTGCCATTGTGAATACGACGAGCGTTAAAATAGAKTGAGAAATAAAGATAATGTGCACATCATTTTCCTTTAAGTGCCCGACTATTTGAAGAACCCCTGCGAGACCTGAAACAAAAAGCAGCCGGCGTGATTTATCACCTCAAACCTGACACCAAAATGTCTCAGTGAAAGTCTGAAAGAACAATCAACCTGGGACAAAAATCCTTGTCTTCTTGTTGAAGCAGCTGTGCAGCTGTTTTTGTGCGTGTGGTGACGAACGTAAGACAAAAAAGGATTTTTTTTGACACATTTCTGTTGAGGAAAGTGAAAAGCACACCTGCAGCTGGAAGCCCTGTAACTATGTTTGGCTGCTCCAGTGACTGGCAGACAGGCTGATGACTGAAAGCACTGGTGTGGAGCGATCGCAGGAAGGGAGCAGAGCTGCTGCTCAGATAGTCTGCCGTCTTGTAATCAGCCACAGAGCTATCTGACAGCACGGTCACACTCAGCTCCCTGGACTGAAGACACTCAAACACCTGCAAGAGACAAAAACATCAAAATCAYCTAAGTTTAATGYGTGCAAAACAGTATAAAACACACKAATCTTTGAACAAAATCAGAATTAMTCTATTTTGTTTATGCCAAATTCAAGCTGTATGTCTGTATTTGGCAGCGGATCCTGACATTTGTGAGAGCAGCCACCAGTTTTCCAATTTGCAAATGTCAGGTTTTGAGAACTTGTTCCTATTATAACCCTGTTTTCCTTTTTTTCAGCTGACAGGAGTGAAATCTGTCACAGTGTCTTCTGCTGGTGAGGCAAATCAATTTGAAGGTTGATTGTATTTTCTCGTTTTAAAACTTGCTCATCAGGCAYCGATCAGAGAACCCCCTCCTTGTGTTTGCTCTAAAAACAACAAAAATCCTAACAAACAAACTCTGTGTCAGAATGTTACCAAACCAAACTAGATGTGTGTATTTGTRTATTAAAATCACAGTGTTGTAATCAAGCTGTGCACTCTTTCCTGACACACTAGTAGAGTTGACAGATTCTAATTAGGTCCTCATTAATGTGCTTTAAAAAAACAGCTGTAAATCTGCAGACTGGAGGAGAATTAGCCCTAAAACATCACATCAGGCGGACTGAAGTTACCTTTTCTGTCCATTGAAAGAGCTGGTCTTCWGCAACGTAGCAAGTCACTCCACAGACCAGGACCTTTAGAGAAAGGACACTAGTTTATTTCAGAATTATTTATTAAAAATTGTTCAAAAAATAGACAAAGCTGTGACAAAAATGATTAAACTACACATGCTAAAAGCACGAAAAGGTTAGCAAAAAGCTAATAGTAGCAAAGGCTAGCTAAAGGCAGCAAAACACATGCTAAAAGCAAGAAAAGTTTAGCAAAAAGCTAATAGTAGTAAAGGCTAGCTAAAAGCAGCAAAACACTAGCTAAAAGCAGGAAAAGGTTAGCAAAAAGCTAATAGTAGAAAGGCTTGCTGAATGCAGGAAAAGGTTAGTGAAAAGCTAAAAGTAGTAAAAGGCTAGCTAAAGGTTAAAAGCCAAAAAAACATCAAAAGGCAGTAAACGTAGCACGGGCTAGCTAGAAGTTAAAGGTAGTAGAAGACCAGATAAAAGCAGGAAAATGTTGAAGAAAAGCTAAAAGTAGCAGAGGCTAGCTAGAAGTTAAAAGTAGTAGAAGGCTAGCTAAATGCAGCAAAACACTAGCTAAAAGAGGAAAACCTTAGTCAAAAGCTAAAAAAAAGCAAAAGGAGGAAGTTCAAAGAAGTAGAAGACAAACGAAAAGCAGGAAAATGTAAACTWAAAGTAGCAAAAAGGCTAGCTAGAAGATAAAAGACTAGCTAAAAGCAGGAAAATAGTTGTGAAAAGCTACAAGTAAAAAGCCTCGTTAAAAGAGGTAAAAGGCTAACTAGAAGGAAAAGAAGAGAACCTAAAAGCAGGAAAAGATTAGTGAAAAGCTAAAAGTAGAAAAGCAAGCTAACAGCAACACAAAAAGGYTAAAGTAAAGCAAACATGCTGAAGTGGAATTAAAATAGAACAATATTTTGAAGTATTTGAAGAGATCTGTACGTCTTTTGGGGGGAACAGAAAATATTTATAAACAAAATTTAATAGTTTGAGAATTTACAAAAAAGTTATTAAAAGTCAAAACATTCCCCATCTACTGGATGAGCTGATGATTTTATCTAATGGTTATTCTTGAAATCCAGTGTAGCAATAAAAATTCTGTGTTGATAAAATCTCTATATTTTAATCTGCAGCTTGTAGTTCAAACATAAAGTTCACCCAACRAGAGGAAACATTAAACTGAGGACGAGGAGCAGATGTTCGCAGCGTTTTCTGAGGTGTTAATCAGCAGCAGATATAGYCTGAAGTGTTGGTTTTCTCGATGTATCACTCACTGACGGCTTGTCCTTGCATCTGTAGAAAACACATGCCGACTCCTCACTGGTTCGCCCAGTTACAGTTCGGCTCCTCTCGTTCCACACCAGTGCACGTCCAACGGCGTCCCAGTTTGCAGAGGCGAGAACGTACGCTGACAGGAAGCCTGCAAAGACAGATCCGCTCAGTATTCAGCAGATCGCACGACAGCAGAGGCTCCTTTCTCCCACTTATTTATTTAATAAAGTGACAAAATGTGTTTTTATTTTAATGTGAGATCAGAGTCAAACTGTCAGTTTCATTTCCTCAAGACAGATAATAAAAAACTGTATAATACAGCTAGAAGGTCATTTAAAATATTATTTAAGCTTCATTATATAAGCCCCTCAAATGGGGAATGTCACAACTTTTAGTCATTTTTTTTGGTCAGTCTAATTCAGGGCTATTCAACTGGCAGCCCGTGGGCCACATCTGGCCCGCGAATAACCAAAATGTGGCCCGCTAATTGGTTCATTGATCTCTTAAGTCCAAATCCCCGGTTTTTTTACTTTAGTTACGGTACTTTAAGTTCTTTTAGCTAGACATAGACATGTTTGGTGTCTACTGAAACGTCACAATCTTGGCTAGAAACTGGTAAAAACCAATTCTATGAATATCTAAGACAGGTAAAACTACAAGCAGTTGAAGATAAAATTATGAAAGTGAAAATAAAATTGGTTTAAAAAATTGGCAGGTATGTTAACATTTGTGTTAAATAGTTTGTACAGTTTGTACAAATGAATGATGTTAGATCTGAACTCTGTGATGTCAAATGTGGAGTTCCTCAAGGTTCAGT